AACAAAAAAGACGGATGCATTTTGTTCATGATTTTTTTACGCTATGACGAATGCCGCTCACTGCACGTGTCTTTACGTGGCCTAGAAGTCTACAAAGGGGCGTGAAAACGCCCACCCTACCCAGCACTTGCGAGAAAATTCAGACCACTAGCACGGCGCGGATTAAAGGTGGTTTTGGAGTTTTCTGGGTTGCCATTTCGATCTTCGTATTTGTTTTGCGCAAAGATAATGTATTCGGCTCCAGCAAGTCTTCCAGTCAATCTTGGAAACGCTCGTTGTGTGTCCTTTTCAACCTCGGTGGGTGGCTCCCCGATGCGTAGCAAATTGCAGCTAGAACGAAGAGGACCTCGCTGTGGTACCAGAATTACTCGCAAGCTTAGCGGTAGACATGTGCATGGATCCGAGTAATGGATCTGATATCACAGTGAATCTTGAGGAAAACTGCAGGCCATGATATATGATCCCATCGGATCCTGCGTGAAAAAAATTACCATGGATCTATGATCTCATAGGATCTGACAAAAACTAAGAACATGGATCTATGATCTTAGTGGATCCCGCCATGCACAACGTTTGAAACCAGGTTTCCAAGTGTTTCTATGTCAACAAGTGCCACAAAACTATGGATTATGACGTGCAATCTCATAAAATCATTAAATCAGAACATTTGTGAGTTCCAACAAGTGATTTTTGGGATTTCTATGTTGACAAAGAATAAATGAGGATCTATGATCGCACTGGATCTCAAACGAAAAATTGGACTCGGATCGATGATCCCTACGAATCTCTCCATGAATTAAAGAGCTGGACCTATGATCCCGTCGGATCCGAGATCAGGATCCGTGGGATCAGATCCCAGATCCATTTTCTTGGATCCATGCACATGTCTGCTTAGCGGCACTATCTTCAATAATCTTGAGCGTCACCTTCCACGACTTCCGACAGTTTCCCGAAGCTGGGTAGGTAGGAAGGGGAGAGTGGGGCACATTCGTGCATGGGGCACATTCGTTTTCAGCAGTTTATGGGAACACGAGTGACTGCACGAGCTCAAGGTAAATTATGGAAATATGTCTATCATTGCCGCCCTTCGTTCACCGTAGAAGACAACACTGTACCTGCTGTCATGCTTGATAAAAACGCAAATTTGTAATATTCGTGAGCTTTCCAAACTTTTCTCATATTATCCATTTTCGTGATCCTGACTCGGAAATGTGGTTCAGCTTTTCAAAATTGGGGGTGAAGAAGCTCACTCTATTCACGGAACTGCGCAAACTTGTTTGTTGAAAAAGTGTCATTTTTTCAAAAAGAAATTTTGAAATGTATTACTAATAACGTTGTGGGGCAGGTTCGTGTACGCACTGCCTGGGGGCACATTCGTGCATATTTTTTTTTTTAGTTTTTGCGATTTATGACTTTATCTGTAGTAGGTTTCTCTAATGACGCTCGCCTGACTCAGTCTCGACTGCTTGCGACGTCGTGACGAGCAATTCACGCGAACTTGGCGAGGTCACGGAGGCCGGCAGTTGGCACATTCTTGTTGGCCAGCCCATTCTTTCTACATATGTTGTGCAATGCATTTTTGTCGAAAGGAATCAAGTGAAATGACCCCCTGCCAATTTCCTTTGGTAAATTTCTGGTAATGCCCGGTAATTTCTCGAACTTTGCAGGGTGAACGGAAGTGCCCCACCTCTTGAACGAATGTGCCCCATAGGTGGGGCAGTTTCGTGCAAATGTTCAGAGTCATTTTTTCTAATGGAAGCAATAATTTTAGAGGATAACTTTTGAAGAGGAAAACTATCTGCAATAGTTCCTTTCCATACTACAATCAACAATTTTGCCATTGCACTAACCAAAGAACAGATATATGGGTTTATCCATTTTTTGCACGAATGTGCCCCACTCTCCCCTATATTGCTGGGTTTAAAATAAGATTGACTGACTTCTTTTTTCTTCTGTTTTCTTTCCACTTCACAAAAGAAAACTGCTTCCTTGCCTTGCTGCCTGCGTTTGTGCGAGACTTTTAAGTGTCATGTATTTGATTTAATGCGTAGGTATTATCAAAATAAAATGGTTACCTTCTACGGGCCTACGGCTATTTCATATTAATCACAATGACTTTATTGTTGTTTGCACTGTTCGAGCAATCGAGATAATATTTGGATAATATGAGAAAAGTACCTACCTAAGTGACAAGGCTGATCTGAACCGTGCTGTAAACAATAAAAATTAAGTACACGCTCGCGCTTGTAAATACCCCGGATCCCCTCGAACTTATCCTGAATGTTGCTATAATATTGGTGAACAAATTTATAAATTCTTCAACAGAGACACAAAGAAGCACATAAAATGAAGCATTGCTTATTTTTACAGGATATGAATGTCGCAGCTGCACCACTTGGGGAAATCTGGCAAATATAGTTTATCCCAGTATACCTGAGCTAGTATTATCCTAAATTGTTTTGTTCTCATCCGCATGATCTGTTTGCGTCAAATATCAAAACTGGTGCATTAAATGCTATTTTGAATTTCCGGCTATTACTTTCATAAAATCAGATGTTTGAAACATGCAGAAAACAGCTTTCGTTTCCAAATAATTTTAACTAGGGCTGTCTAGTTGAATACTAAATAAATATACCAAGCCCCCGTGACGTCACGATCTGTCCAACCTTATGTTGTAGTAATCTTGCAAATTGTCCGATCAAAGAACAAAACGAACGTAAGTACTATCTATAAGTCTAATGAAAAAGTTAAACGGAATTGCTAACGTCATTGCCGCTCAATATGTCATTCAAGACACTCTGTGAAAAGGACCAACCAGTGCTGCGTAGTCGATGAAATTTCAGTGACGTTGGCTCCAACTCCGATTCCGGTATTCAAATATGGACTCCGACTCCTCCGGGCAGAACTGTCGATTCACACAGACTCCGACTCTGACTCCGACTCTGCAGCCCTGGTAAGTCTGTGGAGTCGATGACTTCTCGGTGACGTTCGACTCATACTCCGACTACAGCTTTTAAAAATCCACCGACTCCGAGTCGGAACAGAACCGCTGGCTCTGACTACAACTCCGCAGCCGTGGCCCAAGACAGCCGCCTAAAACAACTTTGACGTGTGATCTTCTTCGTACATTGTTATGTCATTTTAAACAAGGAATGGAAAAGGGAGACGAAGCCTTCACAGACAGGGATCTCCTGTTGCGGATCAATCAGCTGCTGGAACAGAAAGGCATAAACACCACACATCTTATTTCATCGTTTTCCTAATGACTTTGCACCAATGTAAGCACTGATCAATGCAGTGCGAGCATCGATGTGACATTTGTGTACCAAGTTTGAGTGTTATCCGCCCAGCCGTTCTTGAGATATGGAAGCGGCACCCCGCACGTGCGCACGTGCAGTAGCACCCCCATAGTGACACATGGGAATGCATTGGCCACTGGATGCCTAACTATTGACGAAGTTTTACTGTCATGGGCCCAGCCATTGCGGAGTTACTTTATGTGGAACAATTTCGACACCCCTAAGTTGGCACGTGGCACGTGCCGTAACATTAACTCAGATGAAGAAAATCGGGCGAAATTCGGAGAAGAAGGAATAAGCCTACCAAATATGTATGATATATTGTCAAACTGCTGTACCATTGTGAGTAAATGACCATATAAAAGGTCTTACAAGCCGATGGGACTGGGCGTTTCAATACACACCGTTTTATGCATTTTATTTTCGTTTTTACCTAAAGGCTGCTTGACGTTTTTGGCTTTCAAGCATTTAAGACATTTTTTTGTCGTCTCAGGTCCAGTAAGATTACCTCCAACTCGTGGGAATATGCACTTCAAGCCAACTAACACACTACAACCACGTGTGTTATAATGCTGAGAGATGGCGTTCACTCGGCTTGCTCCTAACTTACGATAATGCTCTCGCTAGATGGCAGGCCAGATCCCAATGTCGCGGATCCCAATGTTAATTTCCACGAGACACCAATCCAGTGTTATATCATCCATGGCTGTACGATGTCAAAAACGTACTAAAAAATGGTTTTGAAAATACATAATTGTATAATTTTGGCAATAATGCTAATAACTTGGCTATTTTTGAAGATATTGAGCTAAAACCTGCTAGAGTAGTTCATCAGTGTCGTCGTTCATTCATCATCAAATTTCCGTCGGAGTATTTCCGGCTGGGTCGATTGAGCTTGAATTACGTAAACCGCTAAGGCTGAAACAGACTCTTTCCGCGTTCAGGAAATCGCATGCGAGCGCCTATTCAAATACATTGTAATTCTTCTCGTATCAATTGCTTGCGGGAGGTGCGCGGGAGGTGCGTGCGATTGATGTGAGCGTGCTTCCATGTATTAGAATAGGCTCTCGCATGCGATTTCCTGGCAGAGCAGCAAGACATGCAGCAGTCAACGATATCATCTCCCGAGGCTTACAAACAGCCGAACTGCCCTCCATTCTGGAGCCGGTCGGCCTGAGTCGAAACGACGGTCGCCGCCCTGACGGTATGACAACTTTCCCACAAAAAAACGGTCTCTCCCTTGTCTGGGATTTCACTTTTGTTGACACGTATGCTTCAACACACATATTCAGCAGCGCTCTAACCCTGGGCTCAGTGGCCACAGCAGCGGAGAAAGCAAAGCGCGCAAAATACCGTGATATAGCAAAGGAACAGTTGTTCAAACCGGTTGCTGTGGATGGATCTATGGATCTTGGCCGGCGCATGACGGCAGCCACGGGTGATGACCGGGAAACCACGTACCTGCAGCAGAGAATAGGGATAGCAGTCGCCAGAGGGAACGCCCTCTGTGTCACGCTGGCGGGAAACAACGATAAGCACAGTACGTACGCAGTTTCGAACAGCTGCCCTCAGTACCAAGGCCGAACGTGCGCAAAGGAAGATGCAATGTCATCAGCTACCAAGATTCTGACTCAATCTGGGCAGGATCGCCAATACTTGTCCGGCATCACGGCACCTGAGACACGGAAAGTTCAGGCTGATATGCTTCAAAGTGCGAACAGGCTGCCAAAGCCACACACGGGGTACATGGGCCTCCGAAACCAGGGCGCCACATGCCCCTGAACTCGCTTCTGCAGACGCTGTACTTTACGAACAATTTCAGAAAGGCAGTGCTCAAGACGCCGACTGAAAACGACGACCCGCCGAAGCCGATGTTGCGGGCGCTACAGTGGGTGTTTGGCGAGCTTCAACACTCGGACAAGCCTGTCGGCACCAAAAAGCTCACCGAGTCCTTCGGTTGGGGTACGACTGACTGTTCCATGCAGCAAGACGTTCAGGAGTTCCTCCGTGTGTTCTTGGAAAAGCTACAAGTCGAGCTGAAGGGCACGTCCATGGAAGGAGTGATTCCAGAACTGTTCCAAGGCCGAATGAGCTCATAGTGCCGGTGCAAGTACGCCGACTTCCAGTCTAGCCTGACTGAGACCTACTGTGACATCCAACTTACCATCAAAGACAACAAGAACATTTATGAAGCTCTCAAGGAGTACAGTCACCAGCAGTTGCTACCCATCACCCCCGGACGGCGGGGGAGCAAGCTACCACCGCCCCTGCGAGACTAGCGCCGCCATGCGCCAAGAAGTGGAAACACCACGTGACTGAGGCCACGTGAGGGCAGGGTCACGTGATGGAGGGGCGAAGCATAGTAGCTTTTGCGCCCGACACTAACTGAAATGCGGCGCTGTGATTGGGCGCCTTAGCATGAACGAAGCCTCGGCGCCAGAATCAGCCGTTCGCCTTATATGGAAAGTGAGCCTTTGCGTTTCACTGTTCTGTATTGGTTTGAGAGCCACGGCACCATACGAATTGTGAGCCCCTTTGAACGGGTCACCGCCCGAGGCACTGAGGCGACGGCTGTGCCGGGCAAAGTCTCGCCTGGTGGGAGAGGTGGGCCAGGGAAAGTGCGATCGAGCAGCCACTGGGACGTGGATTGGTATTATCCAACCGCGACAAACGATGTCAGCAGCCTCTTCTCGTGTCATAGAGAGTGTCTATGACACAAAAAGCTAGACAGACAACGTGGGCGGTGCCCAATCAAAATCTACTAAACGATCCAGTTGGCGAGGTAGCCAGACCAAATAAAAAGTTTTTAATTCGATTTTGTTTGACAAATGACATACAAGCCCGCTGTGATGGACCAAAAAAGAAGCTGAACAGTTCATACAACTTCTTAAAAGCTCAACGGTTTAAATATTCAAAAGTTAAATGTTAAAATTCAGCCTGCATGTTCAAACTCTGGTCCGGCGCTTGCAGGAAGCTTATATTGCCACTTGCAATTCCACTACGTTGTAAAATAACTGTGTTCTGTGAGAGCAGCAACTGAAAGCCCCGTTGAGGGGGAGGGCGGCGCGAAACGGGCCCCTCTCTCCTTTTCAGTCGATATCTCCTAAAGTATAGCAAATGTCGCCACCAAACTTTCAAGACACATCCGGGCATCATTTTTACACCTTGTGACCAAAGTTTTCTAGAGCTCTTATGAAAGGTTAGTCACAAATGACGTCAGAGGGATGCCATGTTGTCAGTTTCGACCCAATAAAAGGTTTAGCGGGAAGAGCTGTCACGCTTACAGTTTTGAAGATAACGAAAAATATTCAAGATAAAAAAGATGTAAAATAAACAGCGCTACCAAACTGCTAACTCTTATTTCCAAACAAAAATTGATTTTGACCATCAAAACTATAGAAGTATGACAACCCGAAAATACCAACAGCTTTCAAAATTAAAACTGAAATATATGTTAGGTATAGAACTATCTGCTCTAGATATGCCAAACTTAAACTCGATAGCTCTATTTTAGCAAAGTTATGGCAAAAAAAAAACTGCTAAAATTTATTACGTAAAATTTTCAAATTCAATTTTTAGCCGTCACAGAACACACAAAGCAAGCCAAAGGCCACCATTGGATTTCCTGTGATGAGCTGCATCGAATAGATACCCCTTTTATGCAAAATATCAACTTTGAAATTTGACCTACTTTGACCTGACCTTGACCTGACCTCCACCAGAATGTAATCGAAAGCGTTAAAGCGAAGGCGAAAAAGCGTTAAAAGAGCTATCGAATGCGCTTTTCCGCGGCGCTGTTGCTCTATTGGTTCCCGAGTTAGCCGTCGGGTGTTCGAAATCGTTGAAATCAACAAAATTTGGCCTTTGATGAACCCTGGTGACCTGACCTTTGCCCTGACCTTAAAATGACCGAGTGTTTTCCTCCTTATTTTTGACGCTCTTTCGATTGTCGCTTACCGCGTGTCGCTACGTGGCCCAGGAGCCGAGTTAGACGGAGGGGCGTAAAACGCCCCCCCCCCCCCCAGGGCCCAATCTTATAAACGCCGTGAAATGGATATGGCAGCACTCTAAGGCTGGATATATAGTACGCAATCTTATAAAACTCTGTGAAATCGAAAACACGGCACGCTCCTTACGGTATTGGTAGCCGCTGGTTTTGAGGATACCGTAAACTGATTTTAACCGTGAGCAGCTGTGCACATCTCAAAACACCGACAATCATCAGCTGTTTACGGTTTCAGCGGCGTCCATTTCACGCCAGAATTTGTGGCGTACTTTGACGAGCTTCTCAGACAGTTAAATTGATTTAAGATAAATTCCATGTTTTTATGATATAAGTATGCAATATTTTACATTATGATATTTCTAAGATTAAAACATCCACCACATATTAACTCATGATTTACCATAATGATGCTTTATTATACAGACAACGATCAATTTCAAAATATGTATTTCCAGGAACTAAATGCACACTAAAACACATAAAACCAGTGTTCATCGTTATATGGCTTTATTTTTCAAATAAAAAGGGGATTTTTAAGAGGATTTTAGCATTAGTAACCGTCTTAGATTTTCGGCAACCACTGCATTATAGAATCGGTATGGGTCTTTAGCCTATTCTCACGTCTCACGTATGACACAAATAACGGGCACTTCATGGCTTCTGATTATATATTTAGATTAATGATGATATACCTTAGTTTGTCAAAAAATTATAAATGCCTACTCACTATTCGTATTTCCTCGCTTTCTGTTTGGCACAGTCACTGATCAGTGATCAATCTGTTGTTTCTCTTCCTGCATCTTGATCTGACTTCTGAACCAAGTATTTTTCTTGATATAGCTTTGATATGTAGACTGGGTACTTAAATCTTTTGAGGAATTGCTTTTTAGCTTTAGGCTAGGTAATAGGTACCTATGCTTGAATAAGAAGGAAAATAAGCTGTAACTTGACCTAATTCAGTTCATGTACGTAATCTTCGAATTTTAGTAGCTTTATCTTCATGAAGACAAGAAGGAAAATAAGCTATATCTTGAATTGATCCAGCTAATGTACGTATCCTGATGCTCAAATTGTAGGAGCTTCATTGTCAACGGTATTACTTCAATTACTGAAAGAGTAGCCGAGCTATAATTAAATGATTATTTAAATAATTCTTTAACAAACTTATTGCAATGCCTTAACAGCAAATAAATGCAAATGATAAGTTAAAGAAACACTTTATTCACTCGATTTTCTGAGCGCGAGAATGCCCTCGCTGAAATTTATTTGGTCGGCAATCCACTTTTCAGGAGAATTCTTCAAGCATGTTGGTGTTTTCCATACTTTGCTATCACGTTTTCCATAAATAATTTGTTTATTACACATATGTGTGTCTCTAAAAGAAATAAATGCCCAATAAAAATTAAAACACATAACTTTTGCTGTTCGCAAACAGTACGCATAATTTCCAATAGCGACGGCGACAAGACATTGACCAATCACGTTGCGTGTTTCCTGCTGGCGTTGATTTGTACTGTGGGCAAAATGGCGTGAATAGAATTACCATACTATTCTCTTTATAAGATTGCGTGAATAGGGTGCCGTAAATAGAGTGGGGTGGAATGATAGTACGCCATTTGGTAGCACAACCTTTATAAGATTGGGCCCAGCACTCGATGGAAGACGGAGGGGCGTAAAACGCCCCCCAGAACTCGATGGAAAGTTCATGCTACCAACACGGCGCGGGTTAATTGTTATTTTAGCTAGCTCCAGAATGCCCCTCAGAACAGGACTGTTGTGAGCTGTGGAGTCGTGGACCTGATCTTGAAGGAACTGGGCCTAACATTTTCATAGCAAACGTAAAAAATGTTTAACCCTCGCGGGCCCGGGGAACGTTTTTCGCCCCCCCCCTGGCGAATATTTGCGATAGCTCCCGAACACTTAGGGATAGGAAAGCGAAACTTTCAGTACCTTTTGTCCCATCAATTTGACATCTTCTGAAGTAAAAAATTTGGACCTAGCGCCATTGATGACGTCACAAGGTCCATTTTTCTAGACCACTGCACGGCAAACTTCGGCGTCACAGACGCAAACTTCAAATAGCTGCTAAAAATAGAGTTTTAGAGATAAAGACAAATTACGAGCACGGTTATGAGCGTATTTGGAATTTCCGACCTCGACGAGCGTCTGTGGTAGAAAACCACCACTTTGGTAGGGGAAACTACTGCTGTCTGCTACTGTTTGCACTGCATGTCTCGCTGTAGTTGCGACCGATGCGACATCTATGCAAGTCAGCAAGGGTAGTGGGTACGTACCTTAACGATATACGTACTTCATAATTTACGTACTTTTCGATGCGTATTTTCGTCTTTGACGTACTTTTGTCTAGGTATACGTACTTTGTACTGTACGTACCTACCTCTGCGATACGCCTATCTTCTGTCCTTGACATACTTATTCCATACGTACTTTATACTCGACGTGCTTTTGCAATACGTAGGTACTTTTGTCCTTGACGTACTCTGGTCAGGGCCTTGCTCTGGTCCATATACGTACTTTATGCTGTACGCACTTTTACCGGCTTTACGATATGTGCTTTTGTCCTTGACGTACTTTTGTCCATTCGTGCTTAATACTGTACGTACTTTTTGCCATGCGTACTTTTGTCCTTGACGTAGTTTTGTCCATGCGTACTTTATACTGTAATGCACCTATTGTATAAAGTACATCAAGGACAAAAGTACGTATCGAAGAAGTACGTATACGTACTTCTTCGAAACGTACCTACTTTTGTCCTTGACGTACTTTTATCCATTCGTGCTTAATACTGTACGTACTTTTTGCCATGCGTACTTTTGTCCTTGACGTAGTTTTGTCCATGCGTACTTTATACTGTACGAACATTTGCGATACGTGCTTTTGTCCTACGTGCCAGGGGCGTCGCCACAGATTTTCGACAGGGGGGACGGATCGGCCGACTAAAAACCCAAAATTAGGTATCGTTACCGTACTTTTTCAGGCCGATGCATTATCTGTTCAACGATACTGGGCTGAATTCCTACGCGGTACGCGTCTGAAGTCCTATTCATTTATACACGGTTAACCAGAGCCTCCGGTCTTCTATCAGGGTATAATTGTTGACACATGCCATTGCCGTCAATCTGATAGTTAACTGTTATGTTAATGTATATCATCATACGTGGTGGTTGCTTTAGGCACAGTGTATATAAATATATAAATAGCTTTAGGTATTTATTTGTCACAACTCTGAACTCATAATCTCTTTTGGTCTCCAGTATGAATGGGCGGCGCGGGTCGGCGCGAAGCGCCGCGAGATTTTCGACGAGGTCGGAAATGTATATGCATAGGTGTCGCTACAATAGCTTGACATGCAGTGCAAATTGTAGCAGACAGCAGTAGTTTCCCCTACCAAAGTGGTGGTTTTCTACCACAGACGCTCGTCGAGGTCGGAAATTCCAAATACGCCGGTTATGAAGCGTTTGACCTAGAGAAAAATAGAAAAATAGTTTTGGTGACCTGAGGTCAGAGATCAGGTCAACGACCCAGAAATGTGGTTTTAGTTTTTTTCGCAAATAACTTCGACAAAAAAGGTCCTAGAGCTACGGCAATGGTACCATCGCATTCGCCTTGTCAAGCCGCGTCGAATGATATATATTTTGTTCGGAAAAGGTCAAGTTTTATGTTGACCTCATGTGACCTCGAATGACCTCTGGTTGACCTTGACACATGAGAGGTCATTTATGAGGGATTTGTACCCGCTGATCACGAATCTGGCATCTATTTTCCTCTAAGCCTTCATTTAGAGCTTCTGGACGGCAAAATTGTCTTATTTATTGTTACTAACTTGAATTAGTGAAATAGCCTCTAGCAGGGATACTTTTCTGTGACCTTGACCTTTGAGCAGCCTTGTATCGTAAGATGAACCACAAATAGGGAACTGATAAGCCTCAAAACATTTCAAAACATCTTGGAAGCTAGCACGCAAGATGTGCGAAAAAGTGCCAAGTTTGAGGTCAAATTTGAGCATGACCTTGACCTTAACCTTTAATTTTAAGCACATTTTCGGAATACTCAGATGCTCTTCTTTCGTTTGCCACCCAATTTTACTGGTTTGATGCGGCCTGCCGTCCTCTAGAAGGCTTACTTTGAGATCACTACTCATGTGCCGGTTTTTGCCTTTGACCTTTACCTCTGACCTTGAAAATTGACCTGAGGTCAAAAAATTTAGGTGCTTTAGAATCGTCTCGTAAGGACCTTTCGTTTGAAATCGCTTTTGTTTCCGTAGCTGCCTTATTTACGGAGTTAGACAGGGGGGGCGAAAAACGCCCCCCCCCCCGGGCTGCGGTGGTTGGGATTACCCCCCGGGCCCGGCCGGGTTAATAGGTTGTGCAAAAAATAGCATCTTTTATGAAACATTTGCGAAACATTCAACATCATCCCAGACCCCATTAGTGCCGAGCTCCCAACGACGACCATAAAAGCGTCCCCATCCCGTAATAGGCGGCGGAACGGGGAGTCCGTTTGATATTGGCATTTCAACATTAGCCCTATGAGCGTTGCATGGAAATAATAGGACCAAAAGTCGGCAGTGCCCCCCCCCCCCCCCCCTTAATTGAAGGTGTTCCGCCGCTACTGCATCCCGTCAACGTGGGTTTATCACAAGGATGCTAAGATTTAATTTCCAATCCGAAGCTGTAATGATGGAAAGCAAATTTGCATTTTACATGTGAAACAAGCTGACACAACTAAATATTTCCTCTCTCGCTCCCTCTCACTGATTTACCCATTGCCCTCTTTCTCATTTTACCCTCTCTGGTTTTCCTTTTCAGTTTTTTTTTTTCTCTCTCTTTTCTCTCCTCCCGTCCTTATGCCTTCCCTCCAGTCTTTCTTAGCTCTCTCTCTCTCTCTCTCTCTCTCTCTCTCTCTCTCTCTCTCTCTCTCTCTCTCTCTCTCTCTCTCTCTCTCTCTCTCCCTCTCTTTCTCTCTCTCTCTCCCTCTCTTTCTCTCTCTCTCCCTCTCTTTCCTTTCTCTCTCCTTCTCTCCTCTCTCTTTCTCTCTCTCCCTCTCTTTCTCTCTCTTTCTCTCTCCCTCTCTTTCTCTCTCCTTCTCTCCTCTCTCTTTCTCTCCCTCTCTTTCTCTCTCTTTCTCTCTCCTTCTCTCCTCTCTCTTTCTCTCTCTCTCCTCTCTCCCTCTCTCTTTCTCTCTCTCCCTCTCTTTCTCTCTCTTTCTCTCTCCTTCTCTCCTCTCTCTTTCTCTCTCTCCCTCTCTTTCTCTCTCTTTCTCTCTCTCCTCTCTCCCTCTCTCTCTCTTCCTCTCTCCATCTCCCCCTCTCTCTCTCTCTCTCTCTCTCTCTCTTTCCTCACAATATTCTCGACTGTCACAGCGTTGTAGGGCGTGTTTCCAGACAGGTCCAGGCGCTCCTCACTCCGCAGGCCCCAGCCCACACGGCCCAACCGCTCAAACACCCTCCGGCGGATGACCTCTGACCTCGGCGACCTGACCCCAGCCGACCGATCGCGTCCCTCTCCACGCCTCCGCCCCGCTTCCCCCACTACAGCTGCGTAGTAATTGTAGCGTGTGCAAAGGTCACGTGACATTATTTACTTCTGCGGCTTGTTCGGCTGACAAGAGATGGCACTAGTGGTCTGTGGATCAGAGGCGGGGCTAGGTTCTACGACTTCTTGGGGCACACTTTACGGCAGAAAAGAGTTTTTTTGGCTCCCCATCCCAAAATGCTTCGAATATACAAAAACAAGTTAGATATTCGAAAATCGGAGGACCAAACGGATCGTTTGACGCATCTTGCGCGACTGACAATTGATCGGTCTTCAAACTACTGAGCAAAAACGAGGTGATTAGTAGCAAGTGCTGGTGACTGTACGTGAAGTCGCAGACCCTGGATGGCGAGAATATGTATTCTGCTGGCGAGCACGGCCTTCAGGTGGCCACGAAGGGCGTAGTCTTCGAGACGTTTCCGTCCGTGTTGCATCTACATCTGATGCGGTTTCAGTTTGACCCGATAATGGGCAGCAGCGTCAAGCTCGACAGATTTGAGTTTCCAGACGTGCTGCACCTGAACCCATTCCTTCGGGCGCCGGAGAGTACACCGGCCGATTACATTCTGATCGCTGTGTTGGTGCACTCGGGGGACAGCCACGGCGGCCACTACGTCGTTTTCATCAATCCCAATGGTGACGGGACGTGGTACAAGTTCGATGACGACGTGGTGTCTAGCAGCACGCCTCAAGAACCTATAGACGGCAACTTCGGCGGCAAGGATGAAAGAAAGTTTACGGGGCGCAGCAGCACTAGCGCCTACATGCTTGTTTACCAACGCAAGTCGCTACTATGGCAAGGGCATGATGCAGACGTTCTGGCTGATCGGCAAGCACGGCTCGCTGGACCCGCACCCGGAGGAGCCGCCGGGGGGCGGCCCCCCCCCCCCCGTCCACACGAGCCGACCCGAGAGGCCCTGCGGGACGGGGGAAACCCAGGAGAAGACAAGCCTGCCCCCCAGAGCTGCGCTCCCCCGAGCATGCCGGACATCACTGCTGGACCGCACGCAGTGGTGCCGGGGGTGCAGGAGCCACAGGGAGTGCGACCTTCGCCGGACATGGACCACCGGACCATCGGCGACAGCCGTCGCCGCCCCCGATGTGACTGCGGCGGCGGGAGGGGCGCCAGGGGCCCCGACCTCCAGCCCGGCCATCGGAGGGCGACGGCGGCAGGAAGACACGGGCTCCATGGGAGGCAACGATGAGGGCGGCACACCAAGAGGCGAGACCTGCCGGGCGCGTTTTGGTCCCCAGCAAAAGGATCTGTGGTGCCGGGGATGCCTACAGAAAAAGCGGTGTGGGGCGAGAGTGCCCCCCGCTCCCCCGGCCACCACTACCACGGTTCCAAGGGGACCACCGCCTCCACGAGGATCACCGCCTCTACGAGGAGCACCACCTCCACGAGGACCACGGACAGCCGCCCCAACGAATGCCACCCTTGGAGCCCCAACCGGCATCTTCGGTCTGGTTGTGCGCCAACGGGACGCACCGGAGCCGGGGCGACCAGGGCCCCCGGCACCAAGACCTGCCAGCAGCAGGCCGGTGCGACCCGACGGCGCTTCGCCCGCCGCACAGCCTGCCTCCGCCGCACTAGCCGCGTGTCGGACTCGCTTAAAGAACGACCGCGAGAACTGGTGCCGCGGCTGTCGCAGCAAGAGGCGGTGCGAGGTGAGGGCCGGTGCGAAACCCCCTCCAATCGCTGCCCACCCTGAGCAAGTGGCGTCCTCCGCTGGCACAGCAAGCCCGGAGAGAAGAGACGCCGGGGTGCGAGACGGCGAAACGGAGGCGGGACCCGGAGGGGGGTCGGGGTCGGCACCAACAGGCGCAGCGACGCGGCAACGTCCTGCAGCCGGACCGCCACCCGCCCCCAAGGGTCAAGGGGGTATTCTGACACTGGTGAGGGACGATATCCCGTACAGTGTCAACCCCTCTCCGTACCGCCCCACCCGACCAGACCCCAACACCTACTGTGTCTCGGTGACGGTGCATGCGTCAAAGACCCTTGGCCTGTCGGTCTACAACATCTACGCACCTCCAGCGCGTTGGACAACAGGCCAGGGCACGCAGGAGCAGGGATTCCAGCCGGACGGGATCAGACTGGAGCACCCCGCCGTGGTGTGCGGTGACTTCAACGCACACAGCCTCAGCTGGGACACCTACCAGCCCGAGACAGCCCTCGGAGAGGCCATTGAAGACTGGGCCGTCGACAACGGCATGACCATCCTCAATGACGGCGGGTGCACTAGGCAAAACCCCTGCACCGGCGGAGTCTCTGCACCAGACGTCTCACTGGCTTCCAGGGACCTCCTGCGATCAAGAGACGTCACCTGGGCGACGCAGCGAGGAATCGGCTCTGACCATCTGCCGATCCTCGTCACACTGTCTTCGTCTGTGCAACGTCCACGGCGGGAAGGCCGAGGCCGGTTCTCCCACCGGAGTGCGGACTGGCCCAAGTTTCGGGAGGAGCTGGATCAGCTGATCAACGCCTGGTCGGCCCAGCCAACCTCCCCGAACGAGGCCGCCAACAGGCTAGCAGCCACTATCCTGCGGGCGGCCAGGGCCAGCATCCCCTTCGGAAACGGCCAAGGGCGACGCCCGCCCTTCTGGAACCAAGCCTGCCAGGACGCAACCGATCGACGGGAAGAGGCACGGGTAGCCGCATCCCGTAGCCGCTCTCGCGCGGACGTCCTGTGCTACCAGGAGGAGCGGGCAGCGGCCGACAAAGTCGTGGACAACGAGAAGACCGCCTTCTTCCGTCAAAAGGCGGCAGAACTCAAGCCGGGCGGAGACATGTGGCACCTGATCCGCACCATGGACGGCCGGCGTCCTCCAGCTAAGCCGGCCGTAGCCATCTCAAGACCGGGCACGGAGGGACAACCTGCGCAACCGACGAGACCAGCCGTCACTGACAAAGGAGAAGGCAGATCTCTTTTGCCAGGCCTACGCGCAGGTGTCCCGCCTGCCCAAGGACAAGACCTCAGATCATTCCATCAAGATCGAGGCTAGACGAGCCACGAGCCAGACGTGCTGCAACGGCGGTCGTGACGCCCTCTGCTCGCCCTTCTCCCGCAGAGAGCTCCTGCTCGGCATCAGGAAACTGCGGAAGGGACGCAGCCCCGGGGTCGACCAAGTGACCAACGACATGCTCCACCAACTCAGCCCTTCAGCGGAACGCCATCTGCTGGAGGTGCTGAACTGGAGCTGGCGCACCGGGGAAGTTCCCGCGTCATGGGGGGCGGCGGAAATAGTCGCTATTCCCAAGAAAGGGAAACCGCCTAACGAGACCGGCAGCTACAGACCGATCAGCTTGCTAAGCTGTATCGGAAAGCTCGCTGAATGACTCGTGCAGCATCGCCTCCAACACTGGCTCGAGCGCGCCGGAAAGCTGAACCGAAACCAGGCCGGTTTTCGGAGGGGCCACTCTACACTGGACCAGCTAGCCCGAGTCACCCAGCCCATCTTTGACGGTTTCGAGTCCAAGAAACCGCAGCGAGCCATCCTCGTCCTCCTGGACTACGCGCGAGCGTACGACCGGGTGTGGCGGGATGCGCTGTACGCTAAGATGCGGCGACTGGGTGTGCCGGGTTGCGCCACACGCTGGATCAGGGCCCTACCCAGCGACCGGCGCGCTAGAGTGAGATGGGGTACGTCAGCCTCCCGGTGGCGGGTCTTCCAGGAGGGCCTGCCGCAGGGCAGCGTGCTCGCCCCTCTCCTCTGGCTCATCTACTGTAACGACATCGACGACCAACTCCGGGCCGGAGACTCGAGCCCAACGGTCTCCCTCTTCGCGGATAATGTGGCCCTTCTCGCGACGGGCCGCTCTCTGCAGAAGTGTGCGGACAGGCTCCAACCGGCCCTGGACGAGGTCAGCCGCTGGGTGAAGACTTGGAAGGTCCAACCTAGTCCATCCAAGTGCGTGATGACCACCTTCACGCTGGACCCCAAGGAGTGCGGCGGCAAGGTCAAGCCCCAGCTCAGCTTCTGCGACCATCCGCTAGGCTACGAGGAGACGCCCACCTTCCTCGGCCTGAAGTTGGACTGCCAGTTGACCTTCGCCGCCCACATCGCCGCCCTTAGAGAGAAGATGGCAAAGCGCCGTGCTTGTCTATCAGCGATCGCCGGAAGGAGCTACGGAAGCCACCGTAGCACACTCCGCATCGCCTACAAGAGCTACGTGCGCTCCCTCTTCGACTACGGGGCGGCCATCTACTTCACCCATGCGGCACCGGCTGTTCGCGAGCGCCTGGAGGCAGAGCAGCGGAAATGTGCGCGCCTGATTACCGGCTGCATCAAGCTCACGGATAAGGAGACCCTGGTGGCGGAGGCAGGCCTCCCTCCGCTATCACTCCGTGCCAAGGAGCTAGCAGCCGGCGAGTACGCGCGCATAGTCCGTCTACCTCCGGGAGACCCCGCTCGCAACCTACTGGACAAGACACCACCACCTAGACTCCGCTACCGGGCCCACGAGGCATGGAGGCGCGCGGTGACGTCTGCCGAAGAGGCGGGTCTGCCACCGCCGCCACCGGCAGACGAAGACGCGACCCTCTCATTCAAGCCATGCTTCCGTCGGGTCGGTAGGTGTGTCTGCGACAGGGCGGGCTTGAGCGACCTCCCAGTGGAGCCCCTGGCACTTTACCAGGGCGCACCACCCTGGCACCACTGTGGAGACGCCGTCCGTTTCGTGCTGGACCTGCCGCAGCCCACAAGGAGGACAGACCTGCCGGAAAGGAGAAAGGAGGCGGCGTTAGCGGCGCTGGCCCTCGTCCCCGATCCAGACTGTACCATCTGGTCGGACGGATCCGCCAAGGAAGGCACCATCCAAGGCGGCGGTGGAGCGATCCTGTAGCTTCACCGCGAGGGACGCACAATAGAGTGCGTGGCACCGGCCGGTCGAGTGTGCAGCAGTATGAAGGCGGAGCTGGTGGCAATGACGGAGGCCCTGGTGTGTCTCCATGAGCTACCGGCCCCCTCTAAAGCACTCATCAAGAGAGTGCTGCTCTGCACAGACTCCCGGTCGGGGCTCCAGCTACTTAGCCGCGGCCCGGATGACCAACAGTCGGCCATCGGCCAGCGCGTCTGGGGTCTAAAAGCCGCAGGGACAGCCGCAGGGAAGGACATCACCCTGCACTGGGTCCCGGGCCACGCCGACCTCGCCGGCAACGAGGCAGCCGACCGCCTCGCCAATCAAGTCGCCGCCGACTGCACTCAAGAGGAGGCCCCGATCGACCTCTCCAGCGCGCGGACAGCCATCCGTCGCTGGACATCGGAGCTGGCCTCCGCAAGGGCGCAGCGGCACCCACATCGAGAACCTACTCCGAGCCACGATGAGCTGGACAGATGGGGCCAGGCCACCCTGTCCCAGCTTCGCACCGGCTACTGCCCACTGGTGCGAGCCACAGCTCATCGCCTCGGCCTGGTCGAAGACCCGACCTGCCGAGCCTGCGGCGAGGAGGAGGAAGACGTGGAGCACCTCCTGGCCGGGTGCCCTGCACACGTGGCGGCGAGGGCCGGTTTCTGGGGGCACTGTCCGACCCTGGCGGAAGTGCTCTCGGGGCCGGCCCAACACATCAGCTACCTGAAGAGAGTGGGGCGGGTGCAGGTCGCTACCGACCCGCCCCCGCCGGCCGCGCCTTAGGCGCGGTCCGCGACCGCGCAGAAGAGAGAGAGAGAGAGGAGCCGCCGACGCAGGTCGACGACGGTATGGACGTGACCGCCGAGAGCCCGCACACCATCAAACAGCGGCGCAGGGAGGCCCGCAGCCGCGCCCACTCCGGAGTGGACGTCTCCTTCAAGGCCACCATGTCGCGACTCCTGTGCATGAACAAGTAGCCGGCGCGGCGGACACCGAAGCTACAGGAGCGGGTCCGGCGCGACCACTGGGTTTTCCCGGGGACAGCGGTGATGGGGTGCCGCTCGTGGACAGGGGTGTTCGTATCTGTGGGGAGGGTGGGAGGCGGTGCTGACCAGTGCACGCTGCACAGCGTATACCGGGTGGCCCAGAAAAAAACGTTCCCAACTTTAAATCAATATTTCTCAGAAAGTGATAAAGATACAACATTGAAACTTCAAATAGTCAATGCGGCACACATTTTCAGTAAATGGTGTGATTTTCATGGTGTTCGGTAAATAACTTTTCAAACGGTTCGTGTTTCAAGCATGCCATGTAAAAATTACTTTTTTGCTCCGATGTTTACTAAAAAATGTGAGCGAACGGGTCACTTTCACCATGCGGCACCGCGGCCCAGAGCCATGACTTCTACTGGCAGCTAGTCTCATTGATGGTTCGGGTCTCAGGATGACACATTCCCTCAGACAACTACGATGGCTCTGTGCCAGCGGCATCGGAAGAAGTTTCCAGTTTTCTAACCATCTTGTGGCTCAAATGCTTTCCTGGCTGACATTCCTGGGAAAAGGTAGCTTTTCAACCAGTTTTTTTTTTGTCATCTGCTGGCAATGTTGTTTTTCATAAGCTATTCTGTGGTCTTCTGGCACAGGAACCAGTCTGCTTTAGTTTGTTTTCCTTATCCGGTCGATTTACTGTTTGATCTACTGAAAGGAGGGTAATCAGCAGTAATCCATGCACCGTGCCACTCCTGCTCGAAACATGATTTGGTGTTGAAACGAATGACGTCCATGAGCCCCATTTTGGCTCAGTATTTGAATATTTGGCACATAAGTGAGACAAAAATATTAAAATAAGAACATACGTGTTGGTTTCATTCACGTGCTCTATTTTTTATTCTTTTTTTATAACATGGGACGTCTAACCCAATCATCACTATCGTTTGACATCGGCAAAAAAAGCAAAAATGTTTTGCTTAATTCAACTCAAGATTGCCAGCTTGAAAATGTTGGTATAGTGTTATATTTTGGCATACCAATGCGCAAAGAAATGACGCAAACTTGATGGAAATTTTGGCTCGTTATTTGTACTCGTATTTGATATACAGGCCTTCAAAGTTCGGAACGTTTTTTCTGGGCCACCCGGTATACGTGAGTGAAGGATTCCTAGTGATAGAATACACTATTCATCAGTGTTCGTTCTATCAAATATATTCTGGATTTTGCGAAAAATCAAAAACTTTTTGAAAATATCAAGAAATATATTTTTGTAGTTGTAAAACATTTTTTCTTAATTTTCAAAATTTATCAAATTCGAGATTGCAGTTTGATAGCTACGTGTATTTGTAGCCTACTGATACAAAGAAATTGGATCTAGCTTTAAAATTAAGCTCTTGAGAGTGTTTGCCGTAATTCAATATTTTGCATCAAAATAGGCCGACATGACGTCACTCTGGCGTCATTTCCGGCCAAACTGTGGTAACTAGAATGTTGAAATTTTAACACAAGGTGTCAGGTGTCAAATTGATGCCGCTGAGGGTACCGCAAGTTTCATGTTGGTCCGCCAAACTGTTTAGAAGATATTGCCGAAAAACGGGGGGGGGGCTCTGTAGAGCCCCGCCCCCCAGTCATGCGCGGGTTAAGACGCGTCTAGCTTGGAAGTCTCCGTCCAGCAGTTAGATGCCAAGTTAGACGCCGACGGACGTCTGCGCAGTTAGACGCCAGTTGGACGCCAGTGGAAGTCTCCAGTCTCCACCCATAATGACTCGCATATCTACATGGCCGTATCTTAGTATAAATAGTCTCCATTTTATGCCAATGTACATCCAAAGAATTTCTGGCAATCCATTACACTGATACGGGAAAACCCGATCCTAAGAGTTGACTTCTACCCCGCCGTGACCTATCCTGACATCTGATACACACAAAATTTGTACACATATGCCCTCTGGTATCCGTCTTGTTGTGTGCTAAATTTTGTTTTGATTCACCGAGGCATTTTATAGATATTTGGGAAAACGTAAAGGGGGCAAAAAAGTGTCCCCCTCCACCGCGCGGAAGGTGGCCGGAAGGCCCACCGCCTGCCGGGTTAAAGGGACCCTCCCACCTTCAAAAAAGTTAATGAATTGGCATGAAAGTGATGTCCCTTGGTTCAGAAAGAGCGAAAACGAATATCTACCAAATTTCACCGAAAAAATTCACTGGTTTTCAAGATA